AAATAAAATTGTTCACGAAGCACGCATACGATAGCGTAACGTGAGCTGCATGTTCCCCGAGTGATTTACAACTTATAATGGCGTAGATAGCAGTTAGACATGGTTCAAAGGGCAATAAAACAATAAAATGTTATTATAAATAGATATACAATGTTATGAACTTAGAGCTACTTAGGATAAACAAATGTAGTTTCAGGTTACAATCTACTTTCTAGTCATACTAGAAAGAAATGAAGGTTAATTTAGGTTTATTTTGATTTTATTTGGTGGTTATGAGGTCGGTCGAATTGACCGATCCAGTTTTGAGATTAGGGTAGAGAAAGTAACATATAAACTATAAGGATTTAGTGAAAAAATGTATGAAATGCATTTAGGAGGTTTTAGGGATTATACAAAGGAAATTTGAGATTTTTGAGATGATGAAAAGTATTTTTAATTTTAACATGAAAATTACTTTGCACACAGACTATTCAAAACAAATACTCAATATATACATGGACAAAACTTTATTTTATTTTAGTAAAAGTACTTCACTAAGAAATATGACTTTTTGTATGTGAAAGACTTGTAATATTAACTGAAAGACTGCCAAATTTAGTGAAGATATACATATAGAGTTATAAGTATTAAATTTATGTCAACTTTAAACGAGTACAGAAGGTCACGTGACTTGGTCAAATCGGAAGAGTTAAAGAAGCTTTGTCTATTTTCTTATAAAATTAAAATAATCCATCAAATAACTCAAAGGATATTAAGCTCTCTAATACTAGAATCTATACTGATTTTTAATGTTAACTAAACCAATAATATTTTTAAAGTGGTATAATCCACACACCTTGTGTTGGTATTTCAATAGGAGCACTCTTATCGATATTTCCTGATGTTGCAGTCTCTCCATTAAGATAAGCCAGAAGATCCTAAAGATAAAATGGTATGTTCACAATGTCTTTATTAATAAACAGTACCTTAAATAGTTTCAAAAACTCTACATTGACAATTTTAAGTGTTTTGGTTTCTATAGTAATTATGTCCAAAAAAAAATAGAAATTAGCATCTTTGTTCTTTTTCCAAACCTAATTTCCAATTTACTTTAAAATACTGTTCCCATATGTTTCCCTTACTATGCACACATATATATTAATCTTTTCTTAACTAACCAAGACACATGTAGCATTAGTTTTGTAACACAAAAGAAATACTGAACTGCCTAATCAGAAATAAGACCTATTATATTTTGTCAATAGCACTCATTTTCTTTACTCTTGTTCCAAAAGTTTTGTTACTTTATTAGACAGATAGAAATAAAAATATTTTTAACTTGCTTGAAAGCATGCAGGTTTAATCTGAGACAAGAAAAAATATATTTTGGTTGGTTTTCACAATTTTCCAAATTCCAAACTACTTGGCATTTTCATTCTAATTTATACTTTTTTTCATGCCACTTCCACATTGAGAATATATATATATATATATAATGTTACATTTAATACTTGTGAAAAATCAATATTTTCTCATTAAACTCTATTATATACATGTCTAACATTGTATAAAATAGCTGCATAATTGCTATCTAATTCGGTGAAACTCTGATGAAACATTTGAAATTAATTTTATGTTAATACAAGTGTGATATAGAGCAACAAAAACAGGGATTTAGGACTAAAGCTGAAACATGATAGTGTTATTGTACTCTTTGGAGTTGTAAAGTAATTTGAGTGGTAAGGTAATCGTATATACAGTTCAAATGTACGCATATCACTGAATCCCAGAGAAAATTGTATCAATCTCATGTTTCTGTCATGGAAATGACATTTTAAAGTACACCCAGTACCAAGAAACTCAGTTTATTAACACTGACTGATAGTTGACATGGAATAAGTGGATGTCTTAAAAACAAGTTTTACCCTATCAAGAAATACATCACAGTGATATATGGTAAACCAAAAGTGTAATTATCAAAGCCAGAAAAAATAATAATCACAGAATATTTTTGGAAATTAAAATACATGTGTGTGTGTGTATTAAGTAAAGTACTGTATCTATGTCATATTCACAAAATTTATAGGAGACCTGATGTCATTAAACTGTATTATTATTATTACATACCATGCATTCTACTTAATTAGAAAGTACTGTTATCAATTGAATAAGAAAACAATATTTAAGCTATTTTTGTTGCAATCAGTAAAATTAGTGTAATTCCATATCTTCCAAGGCCTGGAAAATAGGTATACCATATTCCATGTTTTTCCAGGATTCCTACTCACTGTAGGAACCCTGTTTTGAAGTTCATTATGTACTTTTCAACTGTTTAGGCCTTGTCTGACAATAGAAATTCATACATTATTTTCTTAAACCCAACATTAACTTACTTATATTTGATTAAATCTTAAATCTTTATTAGAACAATACAGTCTAGTCACTCAACAGCTCTGCTTAATCACAAAGATGGTGTAACTGCAATGAACCACTGTGTTCTTGGATTACTTCCAATGTCAACTTTTAACTTTTAATTAACAGTGTTTCTTTACTACCTTAGATGTACAACTGGTGATATCTTATTTTTCTCTACTAAAAGCATGCCTTCTCTTACTTTAATGATATGGATAACACTATAGATATCCCTTTCTTTTCTAAAATCTTCATGCTTGTATGTTTTTTTAAGGAAAAGGAGAACTTCTGGTCAAAAAGTTACCATTTTAGGCACAATATAACTGAACTACAAGGTTAGGGGTTTTATCCCGTGTAATCATGTACAACGAAGATGTCCATGAGCAAGGTGATTGGTTATGCAAATTGTTAACATATACTGTAAACAACCCTATATGATTTTCACAGCAATTTCTTGAAACAATTTTCAACTGTATTAGCTACAACACTGTTGTGGTTAAACCACGATGTTAGTTTGTTTTTAATACTATGTTGTAATAACATATTACTAAAAACAAACTAACATAATAGTTCATCCTAACCTGATGCTTAATTTATGATATTTTCTTTGAATGAGCTAACAAATATTTGCATAATGTTTATGTATTTTTCCTGTCTGATAAAAATGTTAAGACTGAAGAAGGGAGAACCTTTACAATAAATGAGAAAATAAATAAAACTTGGATTACAACAGTGTGAAATCCAATGGTTTAAATGAAGTTCAGATGTTCTATAAAACCAAAAGTGTTGAAGTTTATCAATTATAATTAATTTATTATTCTTAAATGACATCATATTGTTACAAATGAAGATTTTTTTTTTGCTACAAGCTACATTCAACTGACAAAACGAAACAATGTCCACATGAAAACTGTCTAGGTATGAACAAGTTTTAACATGTTAAAACAGAAAAAAAATTTTTTTGTAAAGAGATTTATAAAATTCAGGTACATGAGTAAGAAACAACATTTTCATGGGCTTGTTGGCCAAGCAATAATTTTTATGCTTGATGCAATAAATAAAATAAATTTGACAGTATCTTCACAAAATGTTTGACAAGTAAATTACTGTATAGAAAATTTAAAATTTTATCAATGGTAAAAATAACTACAAATGCTTAATAGGTGTATATACTGTTTTCAGTGCACTAAATAGTCTTTGGCCCATACTCATCATATATTGTTATACAACAAACAAGGTGGTCTTGTTTAAAAGACATGGTTAACAGATAAACGCAATGACAAACATGCTGTCCATAAATAAATATTGTTGGATCTTAACACTTACCAGACAATGCAAGAAAACAAAACATACAAAAACAAGAAATTTTTAATCACAGCAAATATTTATGGAAAACTAACAAGAATCAAAAAACTATTTCTCACCTTACGATCTGGGCGTCTTACAACAGGTATGGACTCGGCCTGAAGGAGAAATAAATCTAACATTTCAACTTGTTTCTAATATTTTTCTGGAGTTGTAAGGTACACAATTCAATAAAATAAGCATGAATAAAAGTGAATACAGTGAAATTAGTCATAGCCTTAAATCTTTCTGAAATTACTATTCTGTATCTATTTATCAAAGAGCAGAAAAGCTACTTCAAATGTATGCACTTGCAGGAAAAAAGGCTCCGACTTTTCTTAACATTAGTTGACATTGTTGTTGCACTTTAAAAACACATTTCAAAATGAAGTGACTTCCACTAGGCATTGAAGTCATTCTAACAGAACTGAGCTTTCACTTAAAATTATACTGTGAAGTAACTATATGTCACTTAAAATTCTGTACCACAGTTTAGGTCTGATGATACATTTTACTTAATCACAATACCTAGTAATATGAGAAACCCAGCCCATTTTTTATCTTCTATGACTTTAACATTGCATCTTTCTTCATTTTAGTCCTGCTGTGTTATGAGATCATAAACATTATTCATAAAGCTTTCTAATTCCATTGTAATGATAAAAAGACCTGCATTGGGAGAAGACTCTTGAGAATTTTTTACATTTTACTTATTAACAAATACAAATTATACATAAAGGTGTGAACCAAAATATAAGAGCAAAGCTTCAAAAACAAAATTATTTCTCAAAAAATATTTCATAAATTGTTTTGGTACTACTTTGAATAGATAGAGGTAGGAGTATAGAAGTAGTAGTGATTGTGTGTAGTTAGTTGGAATTGTGAAACCATAGAAACTGTTACTAAGAGTTACAAAAAGGACAATAAAGTCAGTACGAGGTATTAAATTATGAAAGACTATGGAGTAAATTGCATTTCTATAGTAACAGGAGAGAGTATAATTAGTATAAGATTTTAATTTAAAAAGTACATTGGAAAAACTTTAACTTCATTATTGAAAATGTTTAATATATTTAACTTATACAAGGAGTATTGTGTGTTTGTACATTTGGAAAATATATCTATTTCATTTATTCATGTTTAGTTGAAAAACAGTATCTGAATGTTTTTGTTATAGATGCTTTGTAAAATTATATCCTGAATAGTGATCTTTGAAGTTGCAAAACCAGTCAAAGAAATTAATAAAGGAGAGAAAAAAAACAGAAGGATATAATACTTCAATAGTACATTATTTGTATCCACATGTGAAAATTATTTGTAGCAACGTAAGCAAAATATATTCAATTAACTATACTGATGACCAGGTTGATTTTTAGTTCTGCTTTAAGTACATACTTATCCTAATAAGAAATTTTTACATGCACACACTTATACGTTTCATATACTATCAGAGCCAGACCTGCTTCTGAGTTACTCATTTCTCAACAATAAATAAAAACAACAGAGGAACACTTACTGCAGCTTGTCTGACATATACTGGATGGGACAAGTGGACATTTTTCAAAAGAAAAAGTAAACATTCTAAAGTGTAGTATTCTTTTGGGGTGCCATCTTTTCCAGATCTACATAAAAAAATATACAAGTAGAAATTAGGAAACAAAAGTAATATAAAAAAAATCTCAGCTATTTTATATCAAGCTGATATTTTAAAAACAGTTTCAAAAACCCTACACCCAAATATGGTTAAATTTTATAAATCAATACTGTAGCAGTAGTTCCCAACATTTTTCACTCCATGGACTGAGTACGTAAGCATATAACTAATCATATAACGTATTAAAAAAATCTCAGCTACTTTATATCAAGCTGATATTTTAACAACAGTTTCAAAAACCCTACACCCAAATATGGTTAAATTTTATAAATCAACACTGTAGCAGTAGTTCCCAACCTTTTTCACTCCATGGACTGAGTACATAAGCATATAACGTATTAAAAAAATCTCAGCTATTTTATATCAAGCTGATATTTTAATAAGAGTTTAAAAAACCCTACACCAAATATGGTTAAATTTTATAAATCAACACTGTAGCAGTAGTTCCCAACATTCTTCACTCCATGGACTGAGTACGTAAGCATATAACGTATTAAAAAAATCTCAGCTATTTTATATCAAGCTGATATTTTAACAACAGCTTCAAAAAACAACACCCAAATATGGTTAAATTTTATAAATCAATACTGTAGCAGTACTTCCCAACATTTTTCACACCATGGACTGAGTACATAAGCATATAACGTTGTTTTAGTCAAGTTGCGTAGCGTCAATTTTTTGGGGTTATCGTTACAGGGAAGATAAAAGTACCAAATATTGCACGAAGCTTCTTTTAGTGATACTGATCAATTTCAGAAAAGGAGCCACCATAAGGTAAATCACATTTCCGTATAATTCACCAAATCTAAAATGGCCAACCCTCAACATTTATGTTCCTTCAAAAAGTTGTATACACGTGCTGACAGAAACAAACCCTAATTGTTTATATTCAATGAATGAATAAAATTAAAACAGAAGATCATTCATCTGCATTACTATGTTAGTTTATCATATATATCAGTAGTAACAAGACCACTCAGAGATTACAAACCTTTCCCAATATTGATGTGATTAGTTGATATCATATATCGGGACCATAAAGCAACACATAAGCTCAAACTTTCAAATGGACTGTAACCAAATAGATCACTAATATCATTTTGTATACTGTACAAAATTAACAATTCTATTTTGCCCAAAAAATGACAAAAAACATATGTATAATATGGCTACCATATGCTTTCACTCCATTCAGGACATAATTATTAGTGAACATCTGGATAAATGATTCATTTATTGAATATACAATCCTACTGAGACAAGAAGTGACATGCTCATGTCATAAGACAATTGCAGAAATAGATAATATCATTACATCCCATCCTGTGTAATTTGTGTATTCATTGTCTAATAACATGTTAATGTCTCATTTACTGCATTTGTAATTGCAGAGTGGTGAACAATTAAGACTTGCTTTGCCACATTTACAGTTCACACAGTTGCCTTTGCAGGAACACTTTATAAACTCCATACACATCTTTGAGACCTCTGGAATCCTTATTCACACTGGTGTCCATGATCCTGATGCCTTTTTCCATGTAAAGTCGATTGGCGATAGAAGCACTTTGTGGAATGGATGCTGTTTGTCTATCTCCCGGCTTGGTACATCATATGGCATAAGTGTTAAAGTAGTGCATTCTGGGTAGGTGGCAATCTCTCCATGGATAGATTCTTCAAACAAAATAGTTGCTTTCATGATTGGTTTACAGAGGATTGGGTACTGGTTCGGTCATACATAATAACAATAAGTCTCTCAATCTTCTTAAAATAATCTGACTGTTCACTCGGGATCTCAAACAGATGTGTGGCAAAAAATACTACTGTTGCAGTAAGAACGTGAGAGGTTTTCCAAGCCTGATATGCAGATTTCTTGCCCTTCCCTTTGTATGCTGATGTAGTATCACATCCGGTTATAGCATGAAATACTGATTGTGCTATTGATCTTTCTGGTCCTACGTTGGTATATATTGCATTGATACTGAAGAATCTATAATTTTTACCCACATCAAATGGGACCCAGATGTCAAACGAAGATTGAGTTACTTTGATGTGTTGGAACGTAACAACAAGGAAAACAACATCTGAGTCCACTTTACAAACTAAGACTAATTAATTTCTTTGTTCCCAGGAATATAATACATGGCTCACAATTTGAGTATCAGCTTCCCAATAGTTACTGTTTATCATATCTATGCTGCAGCCAACATGTAATACAGATTGGTCGGATGTGATATAAACAGATTTTGCTTGAGGACACCCAAGTAAATCCAGTTTTAAAGCAAGAAAAGTGAACAATTCCCTCTTGTTCTCCAAATCCCTGAGGAAATCCACCCAATTACCTGGAATCTTTGATTGACCTGAAACCTTTCTGCATACACCTTTTCCTCTTTTCTCATGTGTACAGTCTTTCAAACTATCAGGAATGTAAGTGTCCCACACAACATCTATTCTTGTTGTGTCATCCAGTTGTTTTGCGAAGTAAAGTATGAAGACCTTTTCTTCATACTCATCAAAAGTCGTAATCCTGACAGATGGTAGGATGTTGACTATAACAACACCTTCCAAGACCTTACCATTGAAGTGTTCTGGAAGCTCAAGATGTTTGGCCTGGTCTACAACGTATAACAACAACTATTTACAGCAATGTGGAGGAGGGTTGTTATCTCTGGTTGGGTTTGTTATCATTAAAATAAAGGAAAAAAACCTATATAAAAATAGAGTCTAATCATTGTCTTATTAAATTAAATTCATTCTAGACACTCAATATTTGTTTTGTCAACACATGTATACCACCTTAATGGGGAATCAATATTGTTTGGCAGCCATTTTGGCTTTGGTGAATTATATGGAAATGCAAGATACCTCACGATGGCTCCTGTTTTAAAATTGCTTAGAATCACTGAAAGAAGCTTCATGTCAAATTTGGTGCCATCCTGCAATGATTAAGTCATTAAGCAACCTGACTATTTCCTGACTTCCACAGACGTGCCATTGGGAACAATTGATTTACAATTTATACTTGCCAAGTTGTTAGTTTTTCATTTAAATCTTCCAATAAAATACTAAATTAAGTTTTAAATGAAAACTCAGGAAGTCAAAATAAGTTTATGGTTAAGGCTGAGGCTTAATGACTAAAAGAATATTTTTTTATCATGGTTGGAGCAATCCAAAAGGAATGATCTCATTTGTTTCACATTTGCTTACATTAACCAAACTATTTTTAGGATGCACTACATACTACATAAAAATCAAACCAAACTCAACTTTGTTTCCATTGAATGTACAAAAAAAACAAAACACAAAAAAACATTATTCTTCCTGTGTCTAATAACAACTGTATAATTATTTTCCCTGTCTCTTTTATGATTTTTCAAATTTCTGGCCAAGAACACAAGTAATATCAATAACAATTAAATACATTCTATTATTATCATCTCACAGACTGACAGAACTAGTAGTTACAGCCTGCAAAGTAACAGTCTACTAGTTGAATGTGATTTTATTTCTGTATCAAATAAGTTTAAATATACAAAATGTATCATTCTTTTGCTAACTGCTATATCATTTTTCTTCATATAATTCACTTTCAAAACTGAAATCAGCATTTTTAACATAAAAATGGAATTTAAATACATACTTAACCATGGATGGATATAATGTGTGTATAATACTTCAATGCTATGCCCATCAACTATTTTTTTCCTGTCATTCTCATTATATTATTTCTGGTCCCCCGCTGGGACAGCAGTAAGTTTACGGATTTACAATGCTAAAATCAGGGGTTCAAATCCCCACAGCAGATAGCCCAATATGGCTTTGCTATAAGAAAACACATATTATTTTTGTCACACAGCTCCTAACTTCTCATTTTCAAAACTCCCAAGATTTTCAATGCACTATAAGCAACAGAAAGTGCTCATATTTAAGCAAGTGCTTAATATGACATCTAATTGGTGCTGCTTGAAAACCATTATTACAAAGGTAGCCAGATGTGGGATGATTGAGTTAGAAGTTTCCAAACAGATACTTTTCTATTCAATTTCCGCTGTAATATTATATGGTAGATTTCATGCACATTACTTCTGGATAACCAAGTACAAGAATATATCACGAGACAAGTCTGGAAGTGGATAAAAAACAGCATCCAGTTTGAGCCGAGAATGGAGGAATAACAACAAAATACCCTGAAATTTTTTAAATTACCACTTAAAGTAAAGAAATGGCAGAAAAGGCAAAAATCCCAACAGGCAATATCAGACTTGGTACATTGAGAACCATGTGACCCACGATCCTTTTAAATAGTAACGTGGGTTCTCCAAGATATTTACAAACTGATACAACTGGAGGTCTTGGTGTTTCAACAATTTAGTCACCAAATAATATATTATGAAAAATGTTTTCTAGTTCTTGACAAATCTTGAAGCTGGCACAAGCAAATTAATAATACTTTTATAGCACGAGTAGTATTTTAGAAACATTGCACCATAAATTATATTACATTCTTGTTGGTTAAATGGATGTTTTCATGTCAGATTTTTAAAATAAAAATGTAGTACTGATGATAATATTAAATGAAAGTATAGTCTGATAGCATTACAGGAGAAACAAATCTTAAGTCAACCAAAGAAAACTGGAAGAGTAACCAATATAGAAGATGAAATTGTAAATTTCACAGACATACTCCAAAGGTTAAAATTGGTTCATTTTCTGAGTACTTTTTAACCTTCTCTCCATCATAAAAAATGTAGGACTAGGGTACACAAATATAAATTTTGGCAGAGTAGGAGTCATCTTCAGCTAAGACAGTTATATTTTTCTAACAGGGTGGCTGGCCTTTGAAATTGGTGGACTTCAAATGTTTTGGAGGCAGTAAATTTAAGAGTTTAAGAAAAAGCTTGATAAGTATATAAATTGTAAGAGCTGGCTTTAAGATTTTTTTTATATTAATTTATCAATAATTTTAGTTTA